TATCTGTAGGCATACGGACAAATATTTGCTGTGAAATTTAAGGATGGTGCTGGTTTAGGAAAGTGGTGGCTGTAGGTTCTCCGGCAAGAGTCATGATTTCACCAGCCCTGGGCAGCTCTCTGGTTTCCAGTATCAGACACGATTTCCCTCCTGTGAGTGGGTCTTATGTCCATTTAGGGAGCTGTCGGTAACTGCCGAGGTCCGAGAGTCATTACTGCACCCATGGAGGTGTCGTGTTCTGCTGAGTGTTGTTATGGTTCCTAGGTGCTGAAGCTGGATAGGACTGTTGGATGCTTCCTTCCTTTGGAAGTTTTTGTGATGCCTTCGGGTACTATGAAGGCTAGTCCTCAGGGAAGAGGATTTCAGGTCAGTTCCGGTTCAGGGGCATCTGGGCCCTGTGTCGGAAGCAACAGCAATAGTCTGTGATGTGTTGGGGATCTCTTGGACAACCCCGATCAACAGTTCAACAGTTCTCATGCCTGATGTGGGGGTTTCTGCTAGATGGTCTTTGTCAGCTTTGTCAGCCTAGATGGGAAATTTTCATTTAAAGTATCTATGTTTACTGACACAATGATTCTGTATTTCAGGTGTTTTTAGGTAGATAGTTAATATCGTGATTCCTTTTGACTTTTTTCCAGACACCTTGACTGCTGTTTAACCTTTCTGCCCCTCCCTAACTAGAAACCTCCCTTCCCCCACTCTCCTGCTCAGACCATAATACTCTGCTGTTCTCCTCTCTGGCTCCCCCAGTCCTGCCATGTCAATGGTCCCTTGTTACTTTTCTGGGTTTTGTAGTTATCCCAGGCTATGCATGCACATCTGAAGATTTGGAACTAGGAGCTCCAGACGAGAGAGGACATGGGACGTTTGTCTTGTCTGGGACTGGGTCATATCGCTCAATATGTTCTTTTCTAGTTCCATCCATGTAGCTGCAAAGTTCATGATGTCATCTTTCTTTACCACTGAATAGTATTCCACAGTGTATGTGGAATTTTTCACTATCCGTTCATCTGTTGAAGGACATCTAGGTCGATTCCATTTCCTATCTATTGTGGATAGAGCAGCAAAGCAAATATCTATGGAGTCCTTTGTGCACATGCTGAGGGGTGGTACATCTGGGTCACGTGGTGTCTGGCTGCTCAAAACCACTGAAAAGGCAACAGAAATCTGCCCTCCCTGGTTTTGAAATATGTTCCTGCCCCTTTGTTTCCCACTGTGTGATTTAAAAATTATACCTTGTACAGTAAACTGCAGGATTTGTGTCAGCATTCTGAGCTGACTATAAGTGAATATATGGGGGGAGAGAGAAGGAAAAGGGAGGAGCACCAAATTGTCTCAAAATAATTAGTATCCATTAGTATCCATGTTGGTGGAGGGAAATGTAAACGTGCAAAACAAAATAGATGGTTTTGTTTCCATTAGCATCAAGTTTAAGGATAAGACCTTCAGGGGACAGGCAGAGTTCCTGGAGTCCCTTGGCCAGCCAGTCTAGTTCAATCAATGATCTCAAGTTTAGGGACAAAAAAAAAATAAGGCAACAAGCAATAGAAGAAGACACTTGACATCAACCTCTGACTGCAACATGCATGCACTTATGTATGTATGCACACACATAGGCACACCTGCATGCATGTACAAATACATACACAGTACATTCAAAATCTTAAAAAAAAAAAACAAGATTAAGACTTCTACCCCATCAATAAAAATAGATGCACAGAAACTCTTGTCTTACCATGGCAACTCTGGATGCAATGTTATATTAAAAACCCATAGTGCACTGTTAAGTTAGACATATTTGCAAGGAGCACACACTTAAACATGAGTTTTAAAGGGCAGCATATTCTAGTCTCCAAAACATTTAGCAAATAACCTTTGAGTTCACATGAGCCACCCACACAAAAACCAAAATGAACTAGACAGAAAAAAAAATCGCAAAAGCAACTGTCTGTTGACAACCAGATTTTCTTTCAGCCCTTGAGTCTTTGTCTATAAATAATCTGTGTGTTTCGAGTCTGACCATTGTCTTCAGCAGCCCCTCCTGACATGTTCTCAGTTCAGTGTGTCTTAAAACAAATATTAAATGTGTAAATCATGGAAACTATTATGTTTTTAGAGGGGAGCTGTTAGAGATATGTGCTTTTTAGGTACCCATAGTGTCAAAATGAAACATTAAGATGATGTATTCTTTCTTTGGAGCATCTGTTTATCTTTTGTGAGATCTTGAGCTTGATAAATCACCAGAGATAAAAACTTCATTTTTAACTTATCGTAGATCCCAAATGCCGAGAGGAAAAATAGCACCGTGTCTTCTCTACATGAATTTACCTCTCTCCCTGCTGATGACTTACAGGGTTTTATTTGCAGAGAAAACATAATGCTCCGTTGACTGGAGAATGATGACTTTTGCTCAGAAACCTGAGAACTGGAGGGAAAAAAAGAGAAACATCCATTGACAGATATGATAATTTAACATGTTTTAATATCGGCCTGAAGTGATACAGGGTGTTAAACAGAAAAAAAAAACACACAAGATAATTTAAAGCTAAGTTTTAAGAATTTTTTTAGTTTTTATTTTTACATTTGTATATATTTGTGTGTTCTGTGTGTGTGTATACCACATGTGTGTGGGTGCCTGAGTCCAGAGGTGTCAGATCCTCTGAGCTGGAGTCACAGGTGGTTGTGAATCACCAGATATGGATGCTAGAGACTGAACTTGGGTCATTTACAATAACAGCAAGGGCTTTTAACTAAGGAGCTCTCTCTATAATGTAAAGTGGGGTTTTTTTTACCAGAATTTTACCTTCATCTGTTGACACTGAAGATGTCAACCTCTGAACAGATGTAGCAGAATAGATATTGGATACTTGGTGGGGATATGATTTTGAGATGAATCGAAATAACTGATGAAGGTATCTTTTGAGATATATAGATAGATAATATATACATATATTATATTCATTACACAGAGAGTTTTGTATCTCAAAATCACTACAAAATTCTCTCTTAATTGGCAGTCTGTCTAATCAATAATCCCCACAGATTTTATATATTTTAATGTATATACATATATACATGTATATATGTATGAATATTCTTCTGTATCTAAGAGGACCACACAGAAGACTGTAGAGATGGCTTCTTAGTAGCTCTTACTGAGAACTTGAGGATCAAAGTGTGTGACTCGTAATTAAGTCAATCAAAATGGCATGGCCTGAATGTTAAAACTGACTGCAGCTCTGTGGGTAAAGAAGTTCCCTGCTGCAGTGACCCCCCCCCCCCGGCCCCGGTGCCTTGCCTTGCCTTTAGTCTATTGTTCTTCAGCCCTGAGCAGGTTGAGACACATTTAATTGTATGCCAACCCCTTCTAGGTCAGAGGAACACACTTGAGTTTTTCTGATAACGACTGCCACAGAGGGCTGTGTAAGGAGATGGCTTCTATCCTAGGCTTCAGAGGTTCCTAAAGTCCCTATAGCACATGACCAATGGCATCTGTGGGCAGGTGACCTCAGTTTGCCCTTCTCTCTCCTCTCTTGAGAAGTATGCAAGCTGTGATAAGGAGCAGAATCAAGGCATTGCCTCCTACCATGGAACTCAGATGGCCAGATGTTCTGGAGTTTCAAGCCTCACTCTGTTTTCTCACTCCAACAGCTACACAGAGAACTGGCCTTTAGACCAGGAAGCCATTCCACCTGAATGAAGCATCTGCTTACTATATCAAAGGGCTTCAGTCCCTCATGGTGGGGAAGGGATGGCAGGACAGGTCTTTCCATGGGGCCAGGCTTGTGTAGCAGAACCTGTTCTCACCACAACAGACCAGGAACCAGAGAGCAGGGTGGGGAGGCAGGGCCAGGAATCACCCCTGAAGGTCTGTTTCCTTCAGCTAGACCCAACTCCAAACATTTCTAGAATCTTCCAAAATAGCACCTTGGGGGAACCAAGCCTTTAAACAGAGGTCTCTGGGCAACATTTCAGATTTAAATCATAAGCCTCTGCCCACCCACACAGGGTTGGTGCAGGTCAGGCTAGAACCTGGGGTAGTCTATTGCTTTGGCCAGTTGGGTGGGCTAGCCTTCAGTGTTCACGTGCAGGGCTCAGCTGAGATGATTGACAGCAGAGCAACAGTGAAGGGCAGGCAATGGGAACCCAGCCCTCAGTCCAGCAGCAAGAGGACAATCCAGATGGGTTAGTGAGAAAAGGTCTTAGTCCCTGTCACAAGAAGAGGACTGAAGTCCAGGGATGCCAGGGGATAATGCAAACATCCTTAAAAATGAAGTAATACAGTCAAAACCCCATGCCAGGAGCAAAGTCCATGTTCTCATGCTTATTTAGATAGAAGAGGGCGCCCACACAGCAGACCTTTGATGAGAGCCTGGCCGTGGGTACGGAGAAGAGTTGGGGAGTACTGTATAGAACTGTAACATGCCCAGAAACATTAAGGCTGATTAAATACCCATTAAAGCATTTTTTGTAAACCATCTTGTACTTCTCTTAACCATTCTGTCAGGGAAGGCTGGTTGAGAAAAGATGACTAAATACATTTGGAGAGTCTGGGGCTTGCTTGGGTCAATATTTAGGGGCCATTATCATGTTTCCATCACACAGTGAACTAATGCGTGGAGATCACCGTGGAAGAGGGTGGTTGAAAGTTGACACCCAAAGTAACCAAGGCAGTGGGGATTCTCTTCATGGAGTCACTGGAATGGGGATAGAGTGTAGCCTCTCAGGGTGGCTCACGCAGTGGCTGAACCCAGGACTCCTGGTGGTTCCCACAGAGGCTGGCTGACTCTAGTGGCCTTGTGATCTCCCCAGCTGACTGGGGAGGGGGAAGTCACTGCACACAGATCCCAGCCCATGCAGTGGACGGGCAGGGAACTCTGCATGTCCCCAAGCAAGCATGACTAGCAGTCCATTTGTTTCCGCCGTGACCACGAGGTTCCCCGTGGATGTGCTGGCAGGCCCCAGAGAGGCCACTCACCTTTCTATCTCTTCCCTTCCAGTTGCACTAGAGCAGTTCTCGCTGGCAGTGAGGCGCTGTCCCGACAAGGAGGACCAGGCTTTGCTAATGAAGGTAGGCTATCAGATAAGTCCGTATTCCCTTAAAGCCTCCTAGCGTTCTGATTGCCCAGAGGAGAGTGCCGTGTTTTACAAGCGGGAGTAAATTTATCATCTCTGAATTTTGTGCTCCGTGGGGATATGCTTGTCAGTGGCTGGTGGGAGGGTGGCTGGTTAATGAGCTCAACCACCGTCTGCGGAACACCGAAGTGACAGGAAAGTAGGTGTCGACGACGAGCGGGAAGCCTACGTGATTCTCGGTGGATTTGCTTGGTTTTATTTAAACTTATCTGACAGTCCCGATTCTTTTAGCAGATTTATGAGACTTGGCCAACTTCCATGCCTCCGACTATATTTTTTAATTAAGACAAAGGATCCCACACCTTCCCGGCTGGCCTCACCTTCCCTTTCTTCACCAGAGGGAATGCCACACAAATTAGAGCGCTCGTGTCAACCGCCGAGACAGTAAACTTATGTCATAGGTCCTCTGTCCTTGAGTCGAAAACAAACTCCTTTTCTTCTCAGGAACAATCATTCTATTTCTTTCCAGATGGCGCAGACAGAGGTGCGGTAGAGCACATGTTTAGGTTGTGTATCTAGGAGAGCCCGGAGAGGTCAGGCAAGCAGCCTGTGCGATTTTAATAGAAAACTGTCTGGAGGCAGACAGCATCAGGCTCGAGGCACGCGCACATTTCCACTGATGACTAAGCCCTCCTGTTTTCACCTAGCAATGTACAGACTGACCTTGAACACCAGTGTTTCCATGATGTCATTTCCATTCTGCGCCATCAGGAAACGGTATATACCAGGAGTTGCATTTCTTTACCTAAATACAGACTCTTTACCAGGTGTCTTCAGACTTGAGAAATGGGTGGGAAAAAAAAAACTAGGATGTCACTCGAAGGGATTTTCAACTCATTTGCCTAAGGTGTGATATTTTCGGTCTGTCTATTTTTTGTTTTGTTTTGTTTTGTTAAAAAAAAAAACTTTCAGTGATATTTACTTTGTAAGAAGGAAGGGCTGCTGATTCCAAGTGTGGGGTTGGTCTGGGAGACCTGGTTCATCTGAGTCCCGGGTGTGTATGGCACTGACTTGGCATGACCGATCCAAGCGCACGAGCTCGCTTGCTAGTCTGAGGTCTCCCACACTGGTTTCACTCCCTGCTCTGGGCGCCATTCCTTAGCCTGTCCCTTCAAGCACAGGTTGGCTTCCTGCAACCTCAAAACAGCCTTGGGTCACAGACACTCATCTTTTAAGTGTCACTCGGCCACTGTTCAAGACGCAGAGGCTTTGCCCTCTTCCTTCACATCCTGTCCATCATCTTCTCCCATCTGCTCCTTCACACCTCTCTCCTCCTCCTCCCTTGATCACCCTGACCCTTCTGCAGGGGGAGAGACTCCTGGCCCCCCACTCCATCCTGCTAGCGAGCCTCACTTGAAGCTTATGTGGGCACCTCAGGGGCAGTGTAGTTTAGAGGACAGAGCCACTAAGCTCAGGAGCCCACCACACCAGGCCTACTTCTAATCGCCCTTGTGGTTACCTGTCCGTTTCCCTCTCAAGATTTCTTCTGGCCCAAGACAAGTAGGTGAAAACAGGAACAGACCGAAGGCCCCTCCTCCCAAGCTGCCTCCTGTTGCTTCTCCGGCTTCTCTAGTCCACTTGGTTAGAAGCAAACATTTGAATGTGGGAGAAAAATCAAGCCTTCCCAAGATGTTCTGGAATGTGTGTACCTCTCTGTACTTTGTGTTTTCCCTGGTGTTTCTTCACACTGCATGACCTCAGTAACGGAGAGAGAGGTCTGTGGTGTTTTTACAGAATCTTCGAGATATTTGAGCAGGCCTCATCAAAGGAGCTTTACTGAACAAAACCGTGTGCTCAGTTCATATCTACCAAAACTACTTTGTGGATTTTTTTTTCAAGAGATTGAGGTTTCTTTCATGTCACCTATGAGAGGCCACCATGTGGGTGTGACAGGAATGTGTAGGATTTTTTTTGTGGATAAGTGTAGAAAAACAGTAGGTAGTTTTGAACACGCTTGATCAGCTGTCCGCTGTATGTTCATACTAGTGTACTTTGGAGTTTATCTGTAGCAAATTTCGTGTGTGTGTGTGTGTGTGTGTGTGTGTGTGTGTGTGTGTGTGTGTGCAGCTGAGAATTTCAGTAATGTATTTTGACCATATTCATCTCCCTCCCTCAACTCCTCCCAAGACCATCCACCTCCTTTACCCACTCAACTTTATGCCCTCCCACTAAAATGCATCAAGTCCAGTTTGTGCTGCCCAATCATTCCTGGAACTGTGGCCTCACACTGAAATGTGGGCAACTTATGAGGGGCCGCACCCTTAGACTTTTCCTCTCCCAGCAGCTATCAGTTGCCAATAGCTCCTTGGCTACGGGGTGGGACTCTGTGCCCAACTCCCGTCTCCATGTTGGGATTTGGCCTGGGTTTGCACAGGGCTTGTGCATGCTGTCACAGCCACTGTGAGCTCCTAGGTGCAGCTGTGCTGCTGGGTCCAGAAGACACGGTTTGACGGCCGCCATCCACTCTCTGGCTCTTACAATCTTTCTGTAGCCTCTGCTACAATGAGCTCTGAGCCTTGAAAGGAGGAAGTGTAGACTAGATGTGCTGTTCAGGGCTGAGCATTCCAAAGACTCTTAATTCTGTGCACTTTGGTCAGTTGTGGGTCCCTGTGTTAATCACCATCTACTGTGAAAGAGAAGCTTCTCTGATGAAGGTTGAGGATGCATTGGTCGATATGTTTAATGATAAGTTATTAGGAGTCAAATCAATACTGTGACCATTTAGCAGAATAATAATAGTAGATTCTCACGCAGTGCCTGTGACCTGTGTAGCCGTGGTCTCTTGGCCCATTAGCAGGCCAAGTCTGGGTTTCAATTTATGGAGCAGGGCTTAGATACAGTCAGAAAGTGGTTGGTTACTTCCACAATGTTCCTGCCACTGGTACACCATGTCTTGCCAAGCTAATCATCACTGCAGCTCACAAGATTCACAGCCAGATAACGTTAATGATTACTTTGCTCCTCCAAGAGTGTGTATAGAACCTTCCAGAATGATAACATCCAGCCAGTAGGGATGAAGCTCCCATGTTAGTGCCAACTTGACTTCTCCATATTTATATTCATAGATGTGGTTGGTGTCTTTTGCAACAGGGTCTTACTGTTGAGCTCTGGAGTTTGACCAAGAGTATTGGAGACAGCCTGTAATATTTGAGGTCCGTGGGTAACTATATTCACTGGCCAACAACTCCAAAACAAGTAACCCATCCCTGGCATTTGTAAGACAGTGTGTCTAGTCAGGGCATTGTCACCCTGTTTTGGAGTAACTATTTTAACTCATTTTATGAATATATATATGAGGGAGTGAGCATGCATACACACGCATGCATGCATGCTCGCGCGTGCGCGCGCGCGCGCACACACACACACACAGCTTCTAGAGTAGTAGGTTTCTGTATGAGTTCTTAGAAAGGTCCCTAGTGTTATTTATCCTTCCCGATATTCCCTCATCCACCCTGCCCCCTTTCCTCGCCCCCCCCCCAGTTTAACACTTCTTATTCATCATTCCCTTTTATAAATTTAAAAATTTGATTTCACCTCCTGAAAAGTTGTTGGAGGCCAAAAGCAACAACAACAACACCCAAACCACAAATACTTACTTGGTGGAGACTGGCCAAGAAGGTGATATCCCCAGGGTAATGCTCATTCACTGTACTTGGGATGTACCAATCCTTCTAATTTCTCCAAATTTGGGAAACTTGACTGTATAATTTGTGGTAGTGGAGGAGTGCACTTTCAACACACACACACACACACACACACACACACACACACACACACACAGAGGAGGGGGGTGGACCAAAGATGATGTTACATTTCCATGTGTGTTGTTGAATCCTACTCTGTCGATCATTATTGAAACCAGAGGACAGGTACTTTAACTAACCTGTGAAGGTGTCCCATACACAGACCTCCAAGAAGACAGAAGAGACAAGCACAGAGAAGCATATAGCAACACCAAATTCAAGTTCCCCTGGAAGAAACAGAAGTGGTGGGCAGGGCTCAAGATGGCCAAAGCCAGAGTCTCTGCCCATGAGCAGAATAAGCAAGAGGGGAGGGAAAGTCGAGACCTCTGGGTCCTTTAGCTGCTCCCTGGTGCAGCCAGATACTAGGTAAGAGGACCTGCGGATAAGCCCTGCTCCCACTGCCCCCCAGCCAGCGCCTTAAGAGCACAGACAGGAAGCCAGGCTTTGATGGACCCAAGACAGTTATGGCTGGCTTGGGGTTCTGTCCTCCCGGCTGTCAGTCACATTCCCCTCTGTCCTGTCAGATGTGTAACTGTCCACGTGCTCGAACAGGGAGAAGGGGCAGCTGGTGAGACTAGAACACGATGGTCCAAATGCAGACTGTCGCTGTGAGATCCATCAGGCCTCCCTTCTCCTGCCCGCTAACGAGCTGTGCCACAGTTGCGGTCACAGCATCCTCTTCCTCCTGCTTATTCTGATGAAGGGCCAAAGCTCTGGCTCCTGCCGCTTCATCTGGGCACAGCATAGTTACTTACCCACCCGAGGGTGCCGTGAGACAGAGGAGAGGGACTCTGTGTCTCAGTGTTTCCCCTATGCCATGATCAAGACTAGTAGTGATTTGTTTAGGGCTGTTCTTACGACTTCAGCCTGCAGAGGGCTGGGAATGGGGCACTGAGTGGAGAGACGGAGGTGGGAGGGGCTTGCTGCCTTTTCCCACTGCTGTCCCAACAGAGAGAATACTCGGATTCCACACGCCACTCACTTGTCCTCACTGCCGTTTATTGCCTGCTCTTGCTCACCTGCCTCTCTCTCTATCCGTTTGGGGTTTTGACTACGCTAGTCCTTCCAGGCCATGGTGGTCACCATCCTGGAAAGCCTGCCTCCTTCTGGCTCTCCCTGCCCCTCCCTGGGGCTCCAGGTCTCACCCAGGCCCCCAGCCTCACGTCTGAGCCAGTCTCTACTCATCTCAGCC